TTCCCCTATCACTGCAAGTATCTAATTACAAACGTGCACGTGCCTTCCGCATTTGTTGTACACGCATGGCGGTGTTTGCCTCTTCTAAAAACCCATGATTCATCACATGTGTTTTAGGTGGGGGAATGGGTGTTTCTCTGCGGTGTGGGAGTACAGATCCAAGTAACCGCTGACGGGTAACCGAACGTGGATTCATCGTTTCTCGAAAATCATCACAGCGTATATAATCATCATCTCGCCAATAATCCAATTCACGTGGAAGATCCTCTGCAGCTGCGGCAGCTCGTAAAAGTGGTAAAAGATCTAATAAAGCCTGATCACGTTCTAAACGTGCAATTTCTTGTTTACCAGATTTAATTTTTTTTAAAAGATCCTCATTATTCATTAAAGTCTCATCTTCCTGTAATTGAATAGCCGCATAACTGTAGTCGTGTAAAACTTTATCATCCGGAAGAAAAGGGGCAATACGTACACCATTACGTGGATGAAGTGGAAAACTACGCACATTATCATCTATCATAATAACACGATGCATAGGTCGTCCAAGCATGGGAAGATATTTCATATAACTATGTTCTTCTAATGTTTGTGTACGGGAGAGTGCAAAGAAATTCACATGATCATTCCCTTCTCGTGTTTCTGTACTTTTCGCATCTCGTAGCATTTCCTGCACATTATAAAAAGAAGGCGGTAATTGTAATACCTGCACTTCCATCGCATCTACCATAGCAGAGCAATAGGATGCCGTTCCTGCTGTCCAAAAGACAATTTCATACAATTCCTTTACTTCCATCAGAAACTCTCGTAATAGTGGTCGTAAGAAGAGAGAAAAGGCAATTGTATCTGCTGCAGTATTATTCATATTATTATTATTATTATTATTAGTTCCTTCCTCTATATTTAGATTACTCTGCACTAAATGCATACCGTATGTGTGTAGGAGGGTCTCATCAATATCCAGCACGAGTGTTGGTTTCCCAACGGACTGCGGCAGCGGCGGGGGGAGTGGGAGGGGCCACACCGGCGGGTACTCCTGCCGCAGTCCAAAGGCAACAATACTCTGCAGTTTTTGCATGACTGGCTTCGCTCGCATGTAACTATACCGTGATGCTCGTACCATACAAGAGAAATAATAATAATAATTGGATTTACTAAAGGCGTTAGAGTCCTTTCTTTTCTTTTCTTTCTGTTATCGCCCTTTTTTCTTTCCCTTGTATATATGTGTGAGTGTATCTATCTATCTATATATGAGTCTTCACTTTCCTCTCGCCGTATATGAGAGATTCCCGTGAAAAACCTGCACCTTTCTCTCTTTAAATATATATATATATATATATATATATAGAATGTAGAAAAGACCAACAACAACAACAACAACAAGAGATTAAAAAACAAAATAAACGACAATAAAAAAAAAATCATGAAGAGTTACGAGAACCCAAATCATCTCGTATTAGGACCATATACAAATAAAAAAAATATATATATAAATAAATAAAATAAATCAAAATATATAAATATAAATATAAATATAAATATATATATATATATATATATATATATATATAATATAGGTCTGTAGACAATAAGTGGGATTAAAATAAAAAAAAAAGGAGTATACATACGAATGAGCACATCACGTGCATATATATAAATATATAAATATATATCTACTATTAGCGCCACAGAAACACACAGACCGATCAGGGAAAAATAAATAAATAAATAATGGATCAATCGAATATGAAAAGGACACGAAAAAAAGGGAATTTGAAAAAAATAAAAGAAGAAAAAGAAAGAAAAGCATCCGTACACCCCGCTCAAACCCTGTCTCCCTATACTTGCTTTTCTTTCATTTCACAACTATAATTGTATATATATATATATATATATATATACAGATATCTTGTTAACACAATGTTCTTCTACATTCAATAACACTGCGAAACTCAAAAAAAAAAAAAAAAAAAAAAAAACACTAGACAACGCACACATATACACATGAACAGGTACTTAGATGGAATACTTTATTCCAAAACAACAACAAAAAAGAAATATATAAACAATAAAACGTGAAGCGTTAAAAGACATCATCACGCATATATATAAACATAAATATATAAATATATATAACAATGAAAAAAGTATTTATTTAATTTATTTCTGCCTTGCGTTGGTTTCATTCTTTTCGGTGTCACTAGTATTGGGAATGTTCCGTTCCGTTTCAGTTACATTACATCTCTACTTTGAATACATCTCTACTTACATACATTCAAAATAAATAAATATATATATATAGATACATATACATATATATATATATATATATTATGGTGGGAAAAAATATATAGACAAAGGAGAATTATTCGTGTTGTCACCATGAGAAAGGAATACGTTAGAAAAAAAAAAAAAAAACATAGGCTTAGTTACACAGCCAGTGGATTTTCTTTTCGTTCACTTTTCATCATTTCTACAGAGCAGAGACAATTCCCCGAAAGAAAAAAAAGGAGAAGAATGATAACCGAACGATAACACAGAGTTCATGGGAAATCAATTGTAAAAATAGAGGAATAAATTAACAAACAGACAAAAAGAGAAAAAAAAAGAGGAAAACCCCCTCCATTCCATTCCCTTCCTCCCTCCTTTTTTTTTATTTTATAAATACAAAAAGAAAAAGAAGGGTAGTGGAGTTCATTGTCATTAAATATTTTATTTCTTCCTCTGTTTTCTTTTTTTTTTTTTTTCTGGTTATTATTATTATTATTATTACTCTTCTTTTATTTATTTCTTCTTACTGTTTTCCCACTTACAAGAGAAGGACCACTGCCAATGACATGTTATCCCCACCGGGAACCCCCCCATGCTGAGAACACACTCTTGCAATTCCACCTTGTAATGTTTCCGTCACGACATCCTTCAACGTTTTCTCCACAACCGCCATGAATTCTTTCTCTTTCTCTTCATGATCATTGTTGTTGTTGTTGTTGTTGTCATTGTCATTGTTGTTAAGATGTTGATACCATTCCTGTAAGAGTGGCTGCAATGCGGCGTCTGCACGGTTAGCGAGATGTGTGGCACTATTTAACTCCCACGTCCCATCAGATCCAGCCATGATGAGATCGTATGGAATGATATCAGTTGAGTTCCAACCGCCTGGTGGGGGACGGGGGAGTTGAGCCCGGCGCCAAACACGTGTGTGGGGAACATTACTAACCAGCAATGGTGATTCCCACTCCTCCTCATCAAAGCCATCTTCCTTGCCTAACTTGTTATTCACATCATCATGATATTGATAACGATAGGGACTATTCACCACTGGGCTGGTTAAATTCTGTTGGGGATGCGAACGACGGTTGGGATTCTGTACGGCAGTGGGAGGAAGCGCAAAGCCTTCTGGTGGGGCGGCGCCGGCATTTGTGGTCATTCCGAACTTCACATCAAAGTCTCCAAATGAGCGGGTGACCATTAAAGTGCCGAGAACTCGGCCGTTCACAACAACACGTGGACCGAATTGCCGCTCCAACCGCGTGGATTCTCGTCGGTTTTGTGTGGGGCGATGGGCAACCGCCGCATTACGTACAAGCATACCCGCTGCCGGTGATGAGGATAATGAAGATGATGAAGTTAAACGAGCGGCATCATCTCCTAATAGTGTGAGAGAAGAAGAGAGCATATCTGCTGGGAGAGATGTGATGTTGTTGTCGGCTCGTCGTTCAATAATAAAAGCACGACAATCACCTAAATTGCTAATAGTGATATATTTCGCATCTACATGAACTGCAATGGCGGTGGCACCGGAACTGGGTGGGGGTCGTCTGGTTGTACTGGCCATACTACTCACCGTATCTTTCCATCTGTCCTCGACATCCAAACTGCTATTGGTATTCTGGAAACTGTAATCATCATAGTTGTTGAGAGCATCACTGCTTTCATTGAGCAGAGGTGTTTCCAGTATTCCAAGGGAATCCAATACACCGTATGTACCACTTAACTCTTCATTTTCATCATCATCATCATCATCATCATCATCCTTCTTTGTTCCAACCGTACGCTGGGTTGATGAGTCAGCTTTGGAGACAACGGTACTGCTGAGTTCTCTTCGAGAGGGAGCTGCACTGCTGAGTTCTCTTCTGGAAGGAACTGTACTGCTGAATTCTCTTCGAGAGGGAATTACACTACTAAGATTTCTTGGTTCCGTGTAATACAAATTCGAACCACCTTGAAAATCAAAGAGTTGTGTGTCAGTTTCAACAAATGCACGTACAAAGGCATCACGGCGAGTATCACAGTTTGGATCCCCTGAAAAAATCTCCAACGCATGTGTTGTCTCTTCACTGTTGTTAAAAACATTACTAGTACTATTATTATTATTATTATTTCCATCAATAACAACAACACCAACACCATCAACACCACCACTAGAAGCGTTCATTCTGTTTACATCATTTACCTCTTCATTCTGTACACCACGCTTGATATTATTAAGAATGGCTTGTGGAAGTGTATTGGCGCAGAACACCGCCGCCTGTTCTCCACGGTGTCCATCAAGGACAACGGCAAGAACACCATTTTCTGCGGTCTTCAATACACAACTGCGGTCTTCCATGACCCTTCGCCATCCCTGACATTTGCCTACCACCGTAATGCCCAACACGGGAGGAGGTGTGAAGACTGTACCTTCAAAGTCTACATGACGATGGGCTCTCGGCAGTATAGGAGAGTTTTTCGCCTCCTCTAAGTTTTTATAACGAAATGTACAACTCCGTACTCTTCTCGCAACAGGCATTGATAATCCCTATCACAACTATGATAATGACGATACTCCCCTTCTTTCTTTCTTTCTTTCTTTCTTTCTCCCTATATATATATAGATATGGGTTTCTCTATCTTCTACAATTCAAATATTTATTTCTACAGAGAGAAGTATAGAAGGGGTACGTGTCTATCGTGGTATACGTGCAAATGGATCGAATTCCCCCTTTTTTTTATCTTCTTTATTTCGTTCCTGCTGCACAATCTACAAAACCACAGAATACAAGTATACTCCCTCCCCACACCCCAAAAATGGCTCTTAAACAATAAATAATAATAATAATAAAATATATAGAAACACTAAACCCGAACTCCACTACACAAAAAAAGATGTGTAAATATATGCAATAAGAGAAAGGAAATAAAGGAAAAAAAAGAGAGAAAAAGAAAAAAGAAAAATAGATGTGCACAAGACTGCGAATATTGAAGAAACGAATATTCACCAGTAGTAAAGCGCGACGGCGAGAAGAGAACGCCAAGCGCACAGTGAAGAAAAAACAACAACAAAAAAAAAAATGATTTTATATCGCAAAACAAGAAAATAAAGAAAAAAAAAATGAAAAAGAAGAATGAAAAAGAAACAAAGGAAATGGAAAAAAAAAGAACAACAACAACAACCATAACAAGATAAATAACAATAACAATAACAAGAAGAACTAACCGCAACACGAATGTAACATTGTTCTTCTTATCATGCTGTTATTATTATGATTATGATTATTGTTACAAGTACTTTCTTTCCTTCTTTCCATCATCATCATCATTAGCATCATGCGTGCGCTCCCTTTTTTTTCCTTTT